CTAAACTTATTTTTGGTCTCTCAATATCACCAGATAAATTGGGTTTGGCTCTTTAAAACTTTCACTAAAAGCCGGGCGCCAGTGGCTCACGCCTGTAATCGTAGCTACTCAGGAGGCTGAGATCTGAGGATCATGATTGGAAACCAGCCCTGGCAGGAAAAGTCTATGAAACTCTTAGCTCCACTAAACTACCAAAAAACCAGAAGTAGAGCTGTATGGCTCAAGTGGTAGAATACTAGACTTGAGCAAAAGAAGCTCAGGGATGGAGCCCTGAGTTCAAACCCTAGGACACACACACTATGCCCCTGGGTGAGGACATAGTGAGAAAAGCAGTGAGCTGGGTCACCCTTAGGATACCTGAGCAGCAGCAAAGAGGGGCACTTGCCTGGAAGAAGTCCTTGAGGAGGGGATGTACAAGGCTGGCTCAGGCTAGGTGAGGCGACTGAGTGGATAGTATGAAATCTTCCATCTAGCAACTATATCAAGAGTTTAAAAATGCTAAGGTCTGGATGCCTTATAGTATGGAGAGTGATGACTTCTAACAGGCTTTTCCTCCTCAGGAAGTTAGATCTATTTAGTTCTTGGCCTGATGAGAAACTCTGGAAGCTTGTCCCTATGGGGAAAGTAGAGAAGTTTGCTTATGGGCAGCTGATCACAAAAGACTTTGCAGACTCATCCTTCCTCATTTTTATATGCAAGGTAAGAAGTTTGGTGGGCAAAGTGAAGTTGGAAAGAATGGGCCTAACATAACATCCTATAGCCTGGAACACAGCTTGAGCCTGATCTGTAATACATACGCTTCACTTCCTTTTCTGACCTTCCACATCCTAGCTGTATAAAGCAATGTCACATTGGCTGGCTGGCCTCAGACGTTGTTGGGAACTTTGAGATGTAGAGTAGTCCTCCATTATTGGAAAGGCTGCATTTCAAGACATGCAGTGATAGCTGAAACTGTGGATAGTACCTAATCCTCTATGCACTGTTTTTTCCCTACATGCATATATAACTATGGTAAAGTTTAACTTTTAAATTAGACATCGTAAAAGATTAACAATAAGTAAGCATAGTATAAAACAATTACAATAATATACCTTAATAATAGTTATGTGGATGTGGTCTTTAAAAGTCTTACAGTGGCCGGGCGTTGGTG